AGAACAAAGCTGTTATTAATAAGAAGAGCTGAAATAAACGCATGCAAGGTTTCACAGTTGTATTTCCTTCATAGTCAGCCTATAAACTTCTCAGCCCACCCTCGCAGATAACCAAACTGAGACAGACTAACGTAAACGGACTAACATGGTTTAATAGATTCAACAAGATAGCAAGTTACAAACAAAAAAGATAAAAATAATAGTAGGTAATTACAGTAACGAAAAAATAAATTACAATATTAAAAAAATAAAATTAAACAGTAGCCGATTGGGAGTAAATATTTTCCAAACCACAGTATGTCAAATAAACATCCCTTTGTTAAGTTTTGGATTTTGTCCAACCCTTAGAAGCTTACTAGGGAGCCCAGCACTTATTGTTTTTTTTTTGACTCTTCAAAGTCAAATCAATAGTTTGCAGGAAATTTTCTTTTGAAATCTACTTTGGTGGCGGGCCATTGCATTATAAACTTCCATTAGCGAAATATTTTCGAGTTCATTAGTGAAATTTAAGTATTATTTTCGGACGCTTTTGCATATATATATATATATATATATATATATATATATATATATAAAATCTATTTGTCATTGATTGACATTTATTGGCAAATGTTTTCGATTTTGTCAAAGTATTATATTTAGACATTGATGGGTTTTAGAATTTAGTTTTATTTCTTTGAGGTCTTATTGTTTGAACGACTTGTTTTTAACCATTTCTTAACGACACCATTTATTGACCAGACCCCGTTTGCTAAATTTTCTCATTTTCCCCTGTTTATTTCCCTCCTACTCCGATTATTTGATTCTCTGATTTTTCCAACCTCTCCATTTATTACGACTTCACCCCTTTTATTTAGAACCAGAAATTACAGTGACAAGGTAGACAGAAGTCAGTAAAGATTGAACGCACTATAGCAATGGTAGTAATAGTTTGTGAGACATTCATGTTAGTACTTTATGACGAATTACTCTTAGGCTAGTGTTGGGCGTTCTGTACTACACCTGACGGAGACCGTCCTGGGTAAGCCAATAAACTACACCCGAGTCATGGGTATGACAATAAACTACATCCGCGTCTTGGGTAAGGCGATAAACTACATCCGCGTCCTGGGTTAAACGATAAACTACATCCAACAGCAAGGCCTCTGAACCGGAGGTTTTGAGGTGCGTGGAACTACCTCTTAATTGCTGGTGTTTCCAGGTTCACTCTGACTCGGGATGGCAGCACCTGTTACAGTCCTAATATTCACTAATATATATATAAAAGAAATTATAAAACTTCTATTTTGACTTTGAAAAATTAGAAGTATATATATATATATATATATATATATATAGTTCTAATTTTCAACATCAAAATAGTTTTTTTACAATTTCTTTTATATATATATCATGTAAATTGTAATATGTATATTGTAAAACTTCTGTTTTGACGTTGAAAATTAGAAGTATATATATATATATATTGACGTTGAAAATTAGAATATATATATATATATATATATATATATATATATATATATATATATATATATAAATTTTCAACGTCAAAATAGAAGTTTTACAATTTCTTTTATATATATATATATATATATCTATAAATTTCAATTGGCTCATTCGCTTGCTTAAACTCAACGTTGATTCTGATTCCGCAGAACTGGGCTGGGTGTGAGAAAGTATTTATTGTTAACAATTTTTTTTTATTCGGTTTTTCCAGTTACGAGTCCTTTTTTTAAAGCTGATCGTTTTGTGTTCATATTGTTTAGTTCTTTTTTCGTAACAGATTTAATGTTTAGTATAGAGCTTAGAAAAATTCGCAGTGTGAGATAGGCAAGAAGTAAGGCATGTAGCAACATCAGCAACAATATATATATATGCAAGAATTTCTATTTTTACTTTTCGCCGATGAACTGACGTCCTCAAAATAAAAGAATCTTATTTCAACAAAATTTCCATATATATATATATATATATATATATATATATATATATATATATATATATATAGATAGATAGATAGATATTGATTATCAATTGGCATTGTTTACACACTAATAAGACAAGGTTAATTGTACTTAATTAACCACGCAGCACGATAGGAGGTAGCTTGACATCGATTACACAGTTTTCTGACATCGGACTTAAAATTGCTGGCTTGCATCTTCGTTTCGGAAATGTAGTTCGCAATTTCATCAATTGTTACTCGTCCTTTTGGTATTTTAGGTGGCACCGTCGACTTGACATCAATACTGTCATCAGTCATAATCAAAGACTTTCCTTACATCATGTATAATTACCCATAAAACACGTATGTTACTAAAACAGGTTGTAGAGGGAAAATCTCACCAGACATTTATTTGTTTATTTTTATTCTCTTCATAGTCAGAGATAGTTGTGCCCAGTGGCACAGATACCGGGAAATTTCTCGGTGGGACCCAAGCTGATGGTACATCACTTTAGAAATAACCGAAAAAAAAAGAGTAAAAACTAAAAAAAAAGAGAAGAAAAATATTGCGTAGATGTTAAGAAGATTTAAATAAGGTTTCTTTGATGGTATAATTTCTTTCGGTTCGTAAGAGATATCCTTAGTTCGTTGTTGTGTTAAAAATATTCTTAAAAATATAAAAAGCTTAATAGTTTTTCTTTTCATTTTTAAGGATAATTTTTAATTTTGTTTTGGTTAGTTTTGGTTGGTTAGTTAGTTTTGAATATTTTTTTTTCATTTTTATTATAAAATTATTAAAATTTTCTTGTATTTGTATTCTGCATGTATTAACATAAATAAAACAATATTGAATAAACATTTTATTTTCCTAAAACCTTTACTTTTATTTGATTCTCTTGATTACATTTTAGAATTAAGTGGAACCCCTTGACTAGGTTTTTTTTTACAAGTTTTCCCGGTTGAACTTTTCGACTCAGTCTGTTTGACTGTAGTTATTTTGATTTTGTTTATATCATGTTTCTTCAGGTAGTAGACGATTATGTCTTTTCACGGATTCATTTTTTCTTTATTAGCTGTGAATTGTCACTGTCCTGATGTTAATTCCAAATCATATATCCGTTTTGACAGAAATGATTTATATTCATGTCGTGTAGAAGCTGTCACATGAAAACGTTTACAAGTTGGAAATATTTATGAATAAAAACACTGTGAAACTCATGACCAGATCTTAATATTAGTTTCCTATTAGTATCTGTCTATATTTCTGAGATGAGGTATTATGTACACTATTTACATTATCCGGACTATTGTCCTCATCTTTGTCGCAATATTTATTACAACGTTTGGGCCTTTCAGTATCTGTCTATATTTCTGAGATGAGGTATTATGTACACTATTTACATTATTCGGACTATTGTCCTCATCTTTGTCGCCATATTTATTACAACGTTTCGGCCGTTGTACGCTCCGGCCTTCTTCAGGTAGTTGGAATGTCGAACTGAACCCTTTATTTCGATCACTGGGGTAGACTGTTCTAGTTCCACGGGCCATGTTTAATGGATGTAAGTTAGTTATCTCCTATTAATTCCCTTCTCCAAGTTCTCCACTGCCTTAACCGGGTATTGAACTCACACTCCTTGGGTCCTAGCACTGGATCAAACCAACACTTTTATCCACTGTGCCATGTGTCTTTGAGAGAGGAATTAACAGGAGATAACTGATAACTGACATCCATTTAACATGGTACGTGGAACTAGAACAGTCTACCTCAGTGAGCGAAATAAAGGGTTCAGTTCGACATCCTGAAGAAGGCCGGAGCATACAACGGCTGAAACGTTGTAATATATGGCGACAAAGATGAGGACAATAGTCAGCATAATGTAAATACTGTAGTCTCCTATTCTATATATAAAATAAGATTAAAAAATATATATTATCCTACCGGAATTAGGAAAAGACTTATGACACAACGATAAGATTGTTTTGAAATAGCGGAACGTAAATGAACAAAAGTTTAACACTAATTGGGGAATGGAAATGATGATAGAAAGTCACTTCATAATTCAAAATGAAGTCTATATTTTAAAAAAAGATTGCAGTCAACATTCAAGGCAATCGGTGCTTGACAATTTTGACTTTTTAGGCGATGTTCATCAAACATGTAAGGCTAGTGCAATTTTCCACATCCCAGCTGCCAATACATTCATGTACTTGTAAAATATTCATGGTCTATCGATCTCACTAAATTTTTGAGATGAGGAATTATTATTATTATTATTATTATTATTATTATTGTTATTATTATTATTATTATTATACACTGGTTTATCCTCACAGTAGTTGTTATAGTCACATTTTGATGAAAATGCTGTGAATATAACAGAGAAAATAAGGACATATGTAATTATCTATCTTTTATTTTTAATCGGTACCACGTCATGCAAGGCAGTAAAGCCACTAAGACACAAGGGGTTACAGAGCGTGGAAGAATAAGGAATAGAAACATTAATAATCAGCAGGAAGAGGAAAGAGTAATCAGGAGGACAGTAGATAGAGATTGACATTGCCTTTAAATTAAAAATGGTTGGAAAGCATGGAGCTGGAAAAGAGTTCCACAAGCAAGGAGTGCGAGAAAAGAAACTGTTAGCATAGAACTTACGGTTACATCTAGCCAGCTTAACTATAAATTGATGAGATATCAACGCAAGTCTAGTACTGGGCTTAAATTAAAAAAGTTCAGGTACCATACCGAAGAGCTCATCCAAACAATTGCTATGAAAGTATTTATAAAAAAGACACAAAGCGGCAACCTCATGGCGGTGGGAAAGTGACTGAAACCGAGACGCCAGATCAGGACCGATAATATTGCTGATTCTTCTTTGGGTTTTATTAAGGAGCTCAGATAAATAGCAGGGGCAACTGACAATATGTGGCAGCAATATTCTAAGCATGGACGAATGGTAGACTTATAATTATGTAAAATAGATTCCGGAGAGAAAAATCGTCTCGCACGACTCAGTGGACCGACTTTTCTTAGAAGCTGACCTAGCAATAGAATCTATCTATCTATCTATCTATCTATTTGTATTTCTCTGTCAGTTTCTATCTATCGCTCTGTCTATCTAGCTTCGTATGAGATTGCTTAGTATCTGAGATAGTTGCATATTTGTTACATGCGGCCATTTAGTTTTTCAAATGGCTTTAAAAGCTATAATTTCAAACGGTGATATCTAATGGTAATATGACTTTATTAAAACACTGATTGATTGATTGGTTTTCTACGACTTATCAACTCATTGCAGGTTATTTGAAGCCAGAAAATATTTTTAGGCTGTAAGAATTCTTTTTATTGGAGATAATGGTTTAGTGATACTAATCTTACTAATTAACCCATAGGTTGAGGGGGGATAAGAAGTGGATTCTTACCTTTCCCAAGGGTATTAGTGCGTTAGTGAATATAACAAACCCAACTGGAATTGGAACTCGTCTTTCCGATTAACAATTCCGAGCCATTACCTATTACATCACACCCGCACTTACAGCAACTAAGCGGTCACCCATCTAGGTACTAACCAGGCTCGACGTTGCTTAACTTCGGTGATCGTTCTGGGGAACCGTTGTTTCAACGTATTAAAACTCTGGAGCACTATTACCGTCCTATTCCCCAGTTAGCACATTCACATATTTGAAACTATGCCATGTCTGCCTTTTACCAAACTGTCTATATCTGTCTAGTAAGGAAAAATTCAATGAATGAATAAACCTTATATACTGCGAGTTCATTTTGCTCAGGTAATTTTTGTTATTTGAATTGTATGATAAGACTAGTCGTAAAATGTAACAAGACAAAATATAAGAAAAGTACAAGGAATAAGAATAAAATAAGCATAAGATAGATAAATTATATAACAAAGGTGTTAATTAATTCTCCATTTTCTAATATTGGAAGTCGATAAAAATTGTTATAGCGAAGGAAAATTCAAAACCATTCTATCATTGTAGTAAGATAAACTAAAAATAACAATAAACAAAGAAACATCGAACTATTTTGATTTCATTCTTTATTTTGATAATATTGGAGAATTTATGTGTTCTAAGTGTTTATCGTAATAAATTGGAGATGGGGAATTCACTTTTGGAATCTTCAGGCCAATATGATTATTCGGAAATCATCGGAAAAATTCTCAAAATCTTTGTTTATTTGCTTTCCCACCTGACTTTGTGCCACATTCGATTTTTGATTCCTTAAAGCAAAAGATAAACTACAAAATTCTCCTACATAAATCTCTTTTGATCAGCAGCCCAAACAACAATTGTTATCTCTTCTGCCACAACGCATGCGCACAAAAGCACTCAAAATGGCCACACAAACTAAGTTGAAAAGAAAGGAGGAGAAAGAGTGATACATTGCCGAGAAGGAAACGTAGGCATCCAGGCGCTTTTACAGACACGTGCGTACACAAAATATTTGTTTGAATGCATATAATCGTTTCTGCGCATAATTGTAAGGAAACGCATCCAAACATGTACGCACGGAATTATACAAGAGCAACAACAAAAAAACAACATATTTTTGTGTAAACAAAACATGTACGTGCGATTAGACACACATACGAGCGCATACACATTTTGACGCAAACACATTGCCTCCACTGCGCATATTTAATTACAATCATAGACTACAGTTTATATTTGTAGAAAATACAAATGGATACTGAATGCATTTAAGTTAAATATGAAACGTCGGATACGAAATACAACAAATTGCAATTATCGATTATTAAAGACTATTTAACGCCTGCATTGAAATATTAGTTTATAAAAGCAAAATGGAAATTATCGATATGTAATTTTATTATGCGTATAAAATCACACATATATAACATAATCGCCGGTGACACGTCGGTTAGCCAATGCCTTTTGTAGACACCTACTCGGTCAAATTTATGTTTGTTCAGTACACAAAGAGACGAGTGGACCATAGTTAAAGATTCTGGAAGAGAAGGCAAATGCTGGTATGATTAACAATTTGTACAAAGCCATCCTTAAACTCTCGGTCACGATGACTTTTTACTTCGTGCTAGCGCAAAAATCGAAGGTATCTGAACAGATCCACCATCTACCCAATTTCACACACAAAGTTTAGGTCAGCCCGTGCTATGGCTTCCAGTCACTTTCCAAAGGTACGGCAAGGTGTACATTTCATTTTATTCAGTGCTATTAATTCTCTATTTCTTGATATTGAGCAGAATAATTACAAAGACTGCTTTCCTTAAGAAACTTACCTTCCAGAAGGTTATTCCTGGTGGGACGAAGCATAATCTTATATATATATATATATATATATATATATATATATATATATATATATATATATATAAAAAATGTGTGTATGCGTTTGTGTGAATTTAGAAATACTGAATATATGTTAAAATATAGTTTTATGCTATGATATACTTAAGGGTTAAAGTTTTCAATATCAGTGATAAAGCGTATGCAAAATTAAAAGTGGACATAGATATCAACACCTGGAGGCGATAGTCTGTTTCATGTAAAACGAAATCGTCTCGTCCTGACAATTGCCTTTAGCATGAGACAGACTGTCGCATCTGGATGATGATTTCAAAGTTTACTTTTATATATTGTGTTTGTTTATTTTCAATAATATCCTTTTGTAATCATGTATAAGAATATATGGTTTGTTTTGTTTTGTTTTACGGTATATCAACCTCAATGGGTTATTTAATTAAAATTGTTATTGCTGGTAATATGTATTATTTTTTCAAAAATGTGTAGCTGGTAATATTTTTTTCAAAAATGTATTGCTGGTAATAATGTATTGCTGGTAATAACTTTTTTTAAATAAGTTATTGCTGGTAATAACTTTTTACAAAGTATTTCTGGTATTAAAACCTATTTTTACACTTTCAAAGTGTTTTGACCCAAGTTTGGGGGTTAACTATTTACCCATAACTGGGACCCTAACAGGTGCTTCCATCCCGGGTCGGGGTGGACCTGGGAACACAAGTGGTTCTACGCTCCTCAAAACCTCCTGATCAGAGGCTTGGCTGTTGGATGTAGTTTATCGTCTTACCCAGGACGCGGATGTAGTTTATCGTCATACCCAGGACCGTATAAGATTTGTTGTTTCACGAGTATATATATATATATATATATATATATATATATATATATATATATATTGATTATATATATATATATATAATTAAATATTTATTCTTTTATGTGTCGTGTCTATTCAGGATGATGGCGATCATGGTTGTTTACAACTTTCTATCCTTTGTAGTTCTAAACACTGCTTGTCCTCTTAATACTCCTCCCCATTTTGCAATCTACTGACACAAGTTTGTTACTTTATTCGCTATTTCGCTGTTTTCTTCTTCCTCTCTTGCCTTAAATATCACCTGAGTGTTAATTTCTCCAAATCCTCTTTCCTCATCACGCGTCCCAGAAATTTCAACTCCCTTTCTCATACGTCGTGCAAAAGTCCTTTTTATTTCCATTTTCCTTAAAACTTCCTCATCTCTCACATGATCCGTCCATGATTCTTAATTTATTCTATTTTGTTCCTTCTTTTATTCTAAGGCAAAACAATACTTTTTTTTTTTTATCGGATATGAATAATAACCAAACATGCATATACATATTAATGATGAACCTGTCTGAATAAATTACATTACAAAATCAAATAAAACGATTAACAATATCTTATTAACTGCAAAATGCAAATATAATGAAACCAAATAGAAAATAAGTTTCGAGTACACAAAGCAATACTATAAAATAAAAATTACAATTTTCAGGCGAAACAAAATATTACAATTAACGAAACAGACAGTTATCAATATGAACAAAGCTACATATATTCTACATATATAAATTTGATTTATTTTGGAGCATTTCCAGCAAAGGAAGCTTTGAAGAATCCTTTGCATCAGTTGGGAGGATCGTATCACCAACAACGAGGTTCTTTCTCGGATATCTCTCCCTAGCATCGAGGCTTTCATCCTTGAACATCGTCTCCGCTGGGCGGTTCTCATATCCAGAATGAATCCCATTCAGCTCCCATCCTGCTTGGAGAACTCGCCAGCAGCAAGAGACCACAAAACGACACTTTAAGGATCAGTTGAAGACATCCCTGTCACAGGCTAACGGTTGCTGTAAATCGGCCTTCCTGGCGTAGGGCCATCCGAGGGGGGGAGAGACTTTCGCGTCCAACTGTCAACATGAAGAGGATCTGAGGCGTGCTGTCAGGAGGGTCCGAATTGCCCAGCCGCACACATCACCTCTGTGACTCTTGCTAACGGCTCTCCCGGAATAGGCTGGGGCTTCACAGCTATCTCCACCATCGCCACTAGTGGGGAGAAAGGGGATAAGGAGAGAGGATGACGATCCCTATGTTCGGATGCGAGCGGGTGACTATATTTTGTATTTCTTTCCTGTTAGTCTGTTCGAGAAAGAATCAGAACAAAATTTTAAACATCTCCGTTTTAAATAGTCGTATTTTGTATTAGAAAATGGATTGAATGGAATTTTATTTCCCAAAGAGATTCTATTTTTAATCAAATGTATTTCTTGATCTGCGAATTCTCAAAAGTATTTACGACTAGACAAAAGGTTTAAATTTACTTCTTTGATTTCTCAAAATACTTGCAGAATTACATCTGATTTAAATCTAAATGCTATAAAAATAACAAACAAAAATACTCTATATCTGGTATTTAGTCAAATCGGCAATAAATAGATGCTAGAAAAATGGTCGGTTCCCTGTACTGCTCCTGCAAGTACCTCACACTTCCTGCTATCCTCTATCTTTACAAGAGCCAGATTAGTATGTCTGCCACCCTTGGGCAGGAGTTGTCTAGTCTTCGCTTTCCGCTCTCGATAGAGTCCAAGAGCGTTTCCGCGTCCTTGTGAGTGATGAATTATTTTCCAACCTGTAACCACTTTCTCACAGACGAGATTTCACAATTTTTTTGCTACTCTATCGATATTTCAGTGGAGAGTGATCAGATGAACTACACTCTTTTTTTTCCCACCAGGTATAACCTTCACGGCTTCACTCCATGCCACACACATTGTAGCGAACCACCATTATTTCTTCTGTATACCATTGGTGAGATGTAAGTTCCACTCGAGCAGCTTATTCTCACGAAACCATGTGGAACCAACTCCCAAGAGGATGTTTTCCCGATTACTACAATCTTAACCTCTTCAAGTCAAGGGTTAACGGTTATCTTCTGCATACACCCTTGTGTAAATTAATTGAAACAAAACGAATAATTTCGTTATTACTTACTTTTTTTTCGTATTTTTCCAATGAAGCATGATCCAGTGCACATTTTAGTACTTTGTATGTCCATTCCACGAAGTCGTTCTTTGTAGAGTGAGAACAGATTTTTTGATTGGATTTAAAACAGGAGAGTTTCCCAGCCAGTCTATAGTACTTTGATTTGCTCATTGATAAGGCTTGCCAGTGGGTTCGTGCAGCGTTACAATTTTCGTACGCTTCCTTACTCATAACGTCCATCGCAGACAATAGCCGTAGGACAAATAATCGACAGTTGAGACAATAGTGTCTGGGCGTGATGAAAATCTGATGCAATCACGAATGACATAATATTTTTCAAGGCCAAAGAAATTTCATCATACACCCCGAAAATAGATTCATATTACTGCACACCACTCAAATGACCAAATCTGAGGAAAAAATAGAAATCGATTACACCCTGTCACTCCAGTGGGTCTAAAACTGACCGTATGGTGAAAGAAAGGAAACTAAAGCGTTTGTTTCAATTAATTTGCACAAGGGTGTATTTAAAAAGGTTATGTTCATAAAGGTGTATAAGCTGTGCCTTTTATTTTGTAACCCTCTACATCGAGTGGCCTTCGGGTCTTTTACAGAGTGAAAACACACAAAGGGGTCACTGAGTGTGACAGAATAAGAAAGAAAAAGAAACATCATTAAGAGGCGAGGACAATAAAAAAAGAGGAATCAAGAAGACAGCAGATAACGATTAACATTGCGTTTAACTTTTTGAAGATCAAAATTGGCTGGAAAGCATGGAGCCCGAAGTGAGATCCACAAGCTAGACGTGCGAGAGAATAAACTATTAGCATAGAACTTACGGTTGCATCAAGCGAATCCAACTCTAAATTGAAGAGATCTTTTTGTCAATCTCTTACTGCGCTTAAATTCATAAAGTCTAGGTAGCACAGGGGGAAGTTCACCAGAACAATTATCATGAAAATATTTATAGAAAATGCACTGGGAAGCTGCATTACGGCGGTGGAAATGTGATATATATAAAAAAATACTTTTACAAATTTTGGGGGCGGTTTCGTGACACCAAAACAAAGTAAAATGTCCATATAAAAATGCTATGTAGAATGTGTTCTTCGTGATTAGGCGTACAAGAAGGTCTTGGTCTTTCTTGATTCATAGTTTGTAGTGCCACGGATTCTGTCTCAACAACGCGACGATAAATAGCAGGAAAGGTTGGATGACTCGGCTGCTTTCGGTCTGGAAACTGCTGAGGGGTTCTCCCCTTTTTACACAAATGGACTCACCCAGTATATAGATATACTACTGCTACGTGAAGTCCCGAGAGACAAGAGTCACAGTGAGCGAGCACGTAGACTCAGTAAGAAGTCATACAGCGATATTTCAATACCAAAGACTGTGTAGATATTTTGCTACTAACCCGTATTTCTGGAACTACTAACCTGCATTACCAGTTTGTATTATTGCGTTAATACATTATTTTCCTATATTCATTCTTGACGTTTGTTATTTATTGGTACCGGATTTCATCCCGGAATCCACAACAGAAACGCAATCTGATACAGCCGTGTAGCCTCGCGTCCATTACCATACGCGCGGCTCTATGTAAAAATCATATCTGCCTGCTCATGAATAAACTATCATTGTTAAACGAAACACTTCTCAGTTAACACACTAGTAAACACGTTAAACGTTGAAGTCAGACTAGTCACAAAAGGGAACGACTGACAAATATAACCTAGTCCTAATGGCGGCACAGTACCACCCATCATAAACTTTCTTTAAACTTAATAACGCAAAAAAAAAACGAAGGATTTGCGGACATATAATTATATGGACTTTTGTCTTTGTTTTGGTGCGAGGAACCAGCACCTAAAATTTGTAAAAGTATTTTTGATACACGCTATATATATATATATATATATATATATATATATATATACGAGGTGGGTGGTAAAAAAGTTTTCAGGGTGACACCGAAGGCATTGCCTTCGATATTTTAATGTTTAATTCAAGGTGTTGTAGCTGGCATCTAATGTCACGAAAAATGCGTGTCTTTTTAATACGTCAGATTGAAATCTGTCATATTAATACTCTCAATAGATCGGTAAAAGAATTTCGCATGGCACATAACATTACGTTAGGTCGCCTTCTGTTTATGTTTCGCTAAAGATATGTACTGGAATATCGTGTATACCTTGCATAACTTTAGATATACGGAGAAGAGCGAACAGAACTCTGGTCTGTTTGCTGTTTTTTTCAGGAGTCAGCAATATTTTTGTAGAGTTGTTGCAGAAAAAAAGAAACAAAAACAACAAAAAATTGTGGGAAAGATCTTGTGAATATTTTATGAATCATTAGAAAAGGGACCGGATGTGCTCGTAGCGTTGCGGGATGTACTCGTAGCGTAGTGGTTACCAGAGTGGAAAGTGGAATTGGTATGTTCAAATTCAGGCCGAGGTCGTTGCGTTTACTTTCGCACAAATACCCTTGATTGTTTTGATTTGTTTTGTTTTACGGCATATCAACCTAAGTGGGTTATTTAATACCGACAATTTTTTTTTATTGCTGGTAATATTTTTTTCCACAAATGTATTGCTGTTAATATTTTTTCTCTTCAAAAATCTATTGCTGGTAATATTTTTTTCAAAAATGTATAGCTGGTAATATTTTTTTCAAAAATGTATTGCTGGTAATAGTTTTTATAAAAAAGTATTTCTAGTATTAAAGTCTATTTTTACACTTTCATAGTGTTTTGACCCTGGTTTAGGGGTTAACTATTTGAGAACTTAGCAGGTGCTACCATTCCGGGTCAGGGTGGACCTGGGAACACCAGCAATTAAGAGGTGGTTCCACGCTCCTCAAAACCTCCTGATCAGAGGCCTTACTGTTGGACGTAGTTTATCGTCATACCCAGGACGCGGATGTAGTTTATCGTCATACCCAGGACGCGGATGTAGTTTATCGTCATATCCAGGACGGACAAGTACCATGGGAAAGTTATGAATCCATCTCTTTTCCTCAAAGCTATAGATTAAATAGTAATTGCCAACCAGTATAGAAGGAAAACTCTACATAAAACCTCATGGACAACGTCATATCATAAAAACCAAAATAATACAAAACCACAGCAGCACCTAGCGCAGTGGGGCTGTGACCCTACTCTTCATAGACGAGTCTAATAGCATTAAAGATGTGGAGAAATGTTTGACGCTTAGAGATTCACTGCTATATAAAGAAAAATGTCGTTGTCTTATTTTTCAGAAACTCATCTCGGTGTTTAATTGTCCCTGAAGTTTTTCACATATATTTAGAAGCGAAGGAAAATGCTTTCCAACGAAATGATCTATCTCTACTTGCTTACTAGTGCGTTATAACCTTGCATTATATAAAATAAAAAAAAGAAAGAAAAAATTATTTGATAGATTTTTACTGAATAGTTATAAAAGAAAGCATGCGTTAGCATCGATCTGTTTTAGGTCTGAAAAAATGGCGTCTTATCTTGATCTTGTACTGGCAAGAGTGATGAAAGAGATTCCTACGCGGAAAGCTCTGCGTCCTTTGATAGGCACTTGTAAAAATGTTTATTTTGTTTTCCAAAATGTTTTATAAAAATATCTATAATAAAATCTATAGTATTGTCGATGAGAAAAAACGACTACAGCTGAATGTATGATGGGACACCGGTAGTGATAAATTCATCACCCGTGAGTAAAATGGACAGAAACGTTGATTTATTATCTTTTTCAGCATAGTGGTCGGTGTAAGTAGGTACATCAATAAGTTCGGAGCCTAATGATGAAATAAACTTTTATTTTATGCAATACTGCCTTTCTTGTCAATGCAAGTCCTGGGTATAACGATAAACTACATCCGGGAGCAAGGCCTCTGATTGGGAGATTGGAGATTTTGAAGTGCGTAGAACTACCTCTATGTTGTTATTCCCAGGTCCATCCTGACCCGGCGTGGTAGTACCTGTTAGGGTCGCAGCTCTGGGCAAAAAAAAAACGCTATGAAAGTATAAAAATGCATTTTATAGTAAAAATACCAGCTATATATTTTTATATAAAAAACTGACAACACATAATGTGAAGAGTCAACTATATCACTCACTCTCTCTCTCTCTCTCTCTCTCTCTCTCTCTCATACATACGCGCTGCGCAATACATTTTGTCTGTAGCTGAAGACATACAATTGCGTTCAAAATATTTAGTTAAAGCTATAAAATTGTGTTCAAAATATTTAGATTTCGGAATTAAATAACACATAGAGGTGTTAAACAAAAACAACCAAACCAAATTCTTATCAATACACTTAAACGAACAAAGATTGATTTGTTTTTTACGGCTTAGCAACCCTTTGTATGTTGTTTTAAAGCCAGGAAATATTTTTAGATTGTAAAACTTTTTTTCAGAGATAATAGTTATTTACTGATACCTCCTACTAATTAACCAATAGCTTGGGGAGAAGACGTGGATTTATACATTTTTCCAAGGCTATTTTGAGTAGGTGAATGTAACGAACCCGATTGGAAATCGAATTCGTTTCTATGATTTCCAATTCCGAGTAGTTATCCATTACACAACCGTCAATACCAACCTTGCAGGATCTGTTATTCCCAAGTGGTCACACATCGAGGTACTGACCAAACTCAACGGAGCTTAACTTCGGTGATCTTACGAGAATCGGTGTTTCGTCGTAAGATACTTAAAATAACGCTTCTCCATTACTTACCTAGATCAAACATAAAAAATTTCAAATAAAAGTTCAGCTCATAACTGTGTCAGGCTACGAACTAACTGATCCATCCTTTCATATCTCTCTTTCTCTCGCTATATATATATATAGACCAGAAATGTCGAAGCAAAATTGCAACTTTTGTAGTTATCATATAACATGTATATGTTATAAATTTGAATAAATATTATTAGGTTTACTCGGTATTGAACACTCTTTTAAGAATAATGTTTTGATTATTAGAATTTTATCCTATGTGTACCAATATATATATATATATATATATATATATATATATATATATATATATATATATATACGTAAAATGATTTTGCAACATTTAAATTAAAAGAGAGCTCACTAGATAGTAGAGCTAAGTATTATTTAATTTAGGATATTAAAACATGCTAAAAATCGCTACACAATTACAATTATATTCGACACCATAAACGTGTCTCTTCAGGCGATGTTAAACTACTCTGTGTGTGTGTGTGTGTGTTTGTAGGTAGTAAAAAAGAAAGCGACTCGGAACGAGAAATCGAGTTTGTTACATTCACTTTTGCACAAATACTCTCTGGAAAATTATAAATCCATCCATTCTCCCCAAAGCTATGGGTTGAATAGTCAGATAGATTGGGTTTCTGCTCTTGTTTCTGAATTATGACAGCTGATGTGCAGAGAGTGGTATTCATGTTGTATCAGTATAATCTCCCTGGCTTACAAGTACTTACTTGAAATAGCCAAGCAACGTAAAATTTAAGCAAGTGGTCATGTGAATGAGCATCTATCACACACACACACACACATACACACACACACGCGCGCGCATACACACACACACGCGCGTGCGCATACACACACACACACACACATTTATATATATAGATAGATATATTTATTTGCTTTTTCTCATCCTCACTGGTGAGGTTTGGGAAACATGTAAAACTATGGTTTCGAATTCGGAGTTGTCCGTCCCGTAGACTGGTTGGCAACCAGGACTAGAGAGCTCGGTGTGCCCTACTATTTAACCCATAGCTGAAGATATAGGAGATTGATTCATACTATTTCCAAGCGTATTTGAGCATAAATGAAATGAAAGATGTCCGACAATTATTTTAATATATTTTCTGTTTATACGTTAGTTTTGTGGGCCTGAAATTTCATAAAAATTTCTCGAACATTCAGGCCGGTAAATGTAGTTAATACTGTTTATTATAAACAGAGCATTTACTTAAATATTTGTATCTATAGAAATAACGTATAAACAGAATATATATATATATATATATATATATATATATATATATATATATATATATATATATATCCGAAGAAATATAGATTTAGGGTGCTATATTTATGGGATAAAGTGCTCAATATCAGAGATAGAGCGTATGTAAATATAAGTATAAAAGTGAATATTGAAGTCGACACTCCAGAGGCGACAGGCTGTTTCAAGCTAGACGCAAACATCAGGCGGTCTGACGATTGCGTCCAGCATGAAACAGCCTGTCGCCTCTGAGTGTTGACTTTAATGTTCACTATATATATATATATATATATATATATATATATGTGTGTGTGTGTGTGTGTGTGTGTGTGTGTGTGTGTCAAAATAGATATAAAACTAATCAAATTGAAGTAGATTTCGTAGAGGTCACATTCATCTTAAGAAAATATATAACAACCATATAGAAAAGCCAACGACAAACCACTTTACATTGTGTCTTTTATTTTATTTTTTCTTAAATCGCGCTCTTATCTAAGTGTTAATAATAAGAATAGGCTATGGAGATGCTCGTTAACAACCACACCCAGTCAAGAATTGAAATCGATTAGTTTGCTCTTTAACTTCTATTCATAAACATAGAATCCCCTAAGTCGTTACCGATAAACTTATTAAATATTGTATAATGTAACAGTCAATCTTTACTAATTTTACATGAATCGAAGTCTTGTTACATTGAGATAATTTTGGTAATTCTCTTCTGCGAAGGTTGGAAGCTAAAAAAAAAGTTGTGTCGAAGAGTTTTTTTTTAATTATTCTTTCTTGTGATACATGAAAACTATTTTGATCGACGACAACATAGGTTGATTTAATGACGAAATCTTTTCATGAATGGAACACCTGCTATTTCTTAAAATAGGATTTCACTCATCTAACTGATATATATATATATATATATATATATATATATATATATATATATATATATATATATATATATATATATTTCAAAAACTTCATACGAGACGTACGGATTTATTTATTTATTTGCCTTCTACTCATGTAATGCTCTACACAAGTTCAGGGATACAGAAAATGGCGCATATTTAATAAGCGCCATTATCTGTATCACTTGAGTAATATCGTACACAAGAAGGCACTTTGTAAAAGATTTGTCGCATTTCGATATTGGCTTGAGACATTAGAGAATGTCCTACACTCTCAAGAAAAGAGGAAGGTTGATCTCCGATGTCATTTTTGTCTTTTACACAAAATGAAAACCAGTTATTCGACAAATGGTGACGCATGACTAGAGACACAAAAATAAGGTTTGGTTCGAACAGAAATACCTACTCAGATCAGCAGATAGGATGGTTTTCAGTACGGTTTGGTTTGTTTTATCTGGGTTTACGGCATATCAACCTCAATGGGTTATCTAATATCAGCAAGATGTTTAGGATAGGTTCGTATGAATAGAATATGTATACTTTGTAAGGAGATCAGATTTCATTGACGTATTTTTGTAAAGAGGTTTTGTCGAGAGCAAAATGTATTGATGGTATTTTTTTTTTAAATATACTGCTGGTAATATTCTTTTTCAAAAATGTATTGCTGGAATTTTTACCATACAAATGTATTGAACTTTTATAGTGTTTTGACACCAGTTTGAGGGTTAACTATTTGCCCACAGCTGGGACTCTAACAGGTGCTACTATCCCCAGTCAGGGTTGACCTGGGAACGACAGAAATTAACAGGTGGTTCCACGCCCCTCAAAACCTTCTGGTCAAGGGCGTTGCAGCCAGATATTGTTCATCGTCATACCTAGAAAACGTTTTCAGTACGATACTCTCACCACTGACCTATTATTTGTATTAGAACATGGAATACGCCTGCGTAGCCTCGAATTATATGAGTGAATTCTTATCACTTCCTCAAAGATAAGTAAGATGACGAAATTAACGACACTTGTCAATCCACATTTGGCTTAGTGCTCATGCAACTGTTAGAAAATGGAATAGAAGAAGCACGATAAATTAATTACACCAATGGAATAAATACACCACCGTACACAGAGCCTTGTTCATTTTCCAAATAGTTATTTCATTGAAGCAGACAACTGATAGCCAATCTTAGGCCTTTGTTTTCTGTGAACATTGAGCTACTATTGAAGATAAAGAAAATTGTATCAATTGATACTGGCCTTTCACGAAGAGTACAATGAATGAATTAATAACAAATTAAAATATCAAAGAAGAATGGTGCAACGGAAATAGGTTTTGTGTCTTGTAGGTGTATGAGTGTTTACGAGATACATGAATGAGTGGGACAGGACATCGTTTATAAGAATGCCAGTAATAAACACATGCCAAAGAAAACATCAAGTGCATGCAAAAGGAAGATAAAATAATATATTTATAATATTTATCAGTTTTTGCTTGTATCTATTTAGCTCTGTTTACGTGGTTTTGTGTAGCGGTTGAGATAGTTATGTGTTTGAATGTAAAAACACAAGGGGGCTTATTAGACAAAATACAATGCTTTTGGCATAAGGCAGCAAGGAGGTGGGGCATAAGTTGATTATCAGTAACTACCTTGTCCCTAACGAGTTCGATCCATTTTAACAATTGACGCAAGGACCATAAGAACTCATCGTCCCCATTCAGTTCGAACATGCACCAAAATACTGCGTTTTCACAGGGAACCTAATAATATATCCATGATATATATATATATATATATATATATATATATATATATATATATATATATATATATAATGGACTCTCTCGTCGATTTCGACGTATGAGAATCTGACATCTTAACCAACTGATTCAGTTATGAATTTTGTGCGATAATCTTAAGTGACACTTAAGACCCGCAAGTGATTTGCAAAGGAGGCCACATATGGAGCAAGAGTGAGGATTATGGGATGAGGTCACTGTTAAATTGGCTGATCCTTTAGATCTTGCTCTCACTTCTTGAAGACGATTCATACTAGCAAATTGAATAATGCTGAGTCCACTAAAACACGCTACTCTCCACTCTACCCGCTCCAATGCTAAGCTCTCGAGGGTGTTATAAGGTATATTGACAGCTGAGAAGTTGCTCTTTAGCTTTTCTTCGTATCTAATTCATGGACGTCCTACATTCCTGTAGTCCTGATCTAAATGATATATATATATATATATATATAATTTTTTTACAAGAATATATTAAAGGTGTGGCCTAAATATATTAAACCAAATGAAATGTTCAACTAAATAATTTAAAAGATATTAAAACTATGTTAGTAAAAACTGCAGTGTGTCTTAAGCTAAAATTCACGATTTCGAATGCTGAATTTTTAGATTAGCAGATTATTCCTTCGACTACCCGAGAAGTGAATGCATACGTATTTTCATAAAACCTGCAATATCTACATAGTGTAAATACTTTTTATTTTTTTTATAAAGTATGATATATCTAGTCATTTATTATTAATGAATATAGCCTACAAAGGGCAATGGAGCTTAAGTCTTAAAATCTTCTTTCAGGATAGTCGTTCTTTTTAAGGATTTTTTCACGATTTCTTTAATCTGTGTTTCAACGGCGATTTTATCTTTGAGAAAATCCAGAAGATTTAGGGAGCTAAATCTGGATTATCGAGAGATGGGGACTGACAGATGTGGGATGCTCTGTTTTTGCCAGAAAGCTTTGCCGAACGAGACGTGGAGAATTGTCTCGCCTATCA